GTTTGTCTAAAGATCAATATTTACTCTGTGGGACTTCTCTAAAAGGCGTTTGGCATGCAAGCCAGAAGTATTACTATACAAGTTAACTAGCAAGGTAACAATAAACCCAAAGGTGATGCCCTTGTATATAAAATCTTGGTGAAGTATGGGCAAAGCCCAACTTCATTAATAAAACTACTCGACTATTAACAAAAAAATACAGGAAATACAATAAAATTTTGGTTTTTCCAAGCCACACTCTTTTACTTGGATAAGTGGTTATCCTCTTTACTTACTCTTGCTTTCTTATTGGTCTTCTAAATTTTTTCGAAAAAGTGAAAAATTTGGCTTATCTTTTCCAAAAGATCGATATTGTTTACTTTCTAAATTCAGACAACCTAATGAATTGCAACCATGTGTTTTACAGATACGGCACATTAGGATCGGGCCCCAGCATGGAACCCTTAATAATAGCAGCAGGTGACTTGAAATATGGGTCTACAGATAGTGGCTGCATCTGGCTTGATATATGAATTAGAATAGACACAACATAGTTACTTGGAGTTGATCGGAAGGTTGGAAAGAAGAAAATCAAATATTAAGGCGAAGCTTTACAACAGGGATATATAAATGTTGCATTTGTTATATAATTTTTATACTCACCTGACACGGGTTATAATAGTGTATTTTCTTTTTCTTTCTTTGAGTACGTCTATCAGGACTATCCTATTCTCTTTTTTTTGCTTTTTTTATCTTTTTTCTATTATGTTAGAATATTGTTTAGAATTTATTTTTTTCGGTTATGTCTTTTTTTCTCTTTTTTTTCTGTTTTTCTGTTTCTTTTTCTAGATATAGTTTTTTTCTTTCGTAAATGTGGCATATATTTTTTTTTTTATAAAAAAGTAAGAGATTAACTATTCTGCTCGGATCTAGATAGAAAAAGTTTTAAAGAAAGAATAGGTAGTCTTGATAGGCTAGTAAAAACCTTCCAGTGAAGTTTTATTTTTTTTAAGTACAGAAGTGAATATTACGGAGGAGAATTCTGCTTATAGCAGATCGCACATGGGTAATTTGGATTTCGGTCACAAAGAGCCAGATGAGCTAATACTTGTAATTTAGGTATCATAAAAACTTGACCTTTAGAGACTTGTTTTTTGAAAATTTGTAATATTTCTTAGTATAATATTTTCAAGCCTAATAAAGTAGAAACAAAATTGCCGAATTGTTTCAAAAAAAATAACTTTTTAAAAAAAGATTAGAATAATTTTTACCCTATCTATTTTTATAATTCTACAACCATATTATCAAAAACTAATAATTTAGAAGATGGAAAGCATAACTTATATCTATTTCACTTTGAAAAAAAAAACATAATAACTAGTCCTCAGAAAAAATAGGATATGACAATAAACTTATATATTTATATAAAACAAACAAATAGATATTTTATTGAGTATATGAAGTACAAAAACAAATCTGTAAAACACAAGCGAATGTTTATATAGTCTCAATTGATCCAGGAGTTTATATTCTATTCGCATGATATTCTTCAACAAAAGGTGTAGGCAAGATAGGTGAATATGATATAGAATATATTTTTGTTTATGTAAGCACATAGATGATCTTATATTAAGCAAAGTTAAATTAATAGCTTCAACCTCGAAATAAAAGAAAAAAAAAGTATTATATGTTAACAAAACAATCTTTTATATAAAATGAAAAATCAAACAACTTCATAATGAAATTTATCAAAAACAATCAAGTTCTTAACTAATGAGCTTACTATAATTATTATTTCTCCTTTTGAGGTTTCAAACATGATAAGCAGAAAAACACAAAAAATAACAAGAAAAATGGTTAAAAAGATGCTTTGTTGGTCTCATTACACATTTCAGCAAAGGTTGATTTCGAAAGCTAAAGAGAAAGAAATTTATGTGATAATTCAAAACAAGGCTTATATATCAAAAACATGTAGTTGGTGTGGAAATATTCAAAATATTGGAGAATTGAAAATTTATAAATGCAAGAATTATGGTATAGTAATAGACAGAGATGTCAATGAGAGATATTTCTTTGGGCTTTGCTTGATAGAGCCATGATCTTGTTGTAAGACATCTTCATGCAGAAAATAGTAACTTTACTTATTAATATTTAGTATTAATTATTATTGATGTATTACAATCAAAGGCCTGCAATAATTTGGATATTAAATTGTAAAAATTTATTTGGATATCAACCAAAATTTGGATAAATTTGGGATAAAAAATTTAAATAGTATCTAATATTTGAATAAAATTTAAATAAAAATTTAAATATTTGGAATTATTTTGAACATTGATTATTTAAAAAAAATCATTATTAACCAATCAAAAATAAAACTATTGTATAATTCAAGACCTTGCTTTAAATTTTATTATTTATGTTAATTAAAATAAAGCATATTCAATATTTTTAAGGAATTTTTGCCTGTTATCTTCTAAAATATTATTATAAACAGAGAAACTTCTCTCTACAGTGCAAGAAGAAATGAGCAACCAAATATAAATCAAAGCTATCTTACTTAAAAGTGGTAGCGAAGAAGATATTTTGTCTTAAAATTTATCTAAATTATTAAACTTAACTAAAGTTAAATCTAAATTACAGTAAAATGACCATTTTCTTAACAAAGCATCTAAAGAATCTTTTAACTCAAAAATTTGGATTAAATAATTTTGAATATTGCAATTAGCAATAGTTAATTTTATAAATTGTAGATCAAAAATTTGCATAGCAATAAAAAGAGAATGGGAAGAATAGTATAAAAAGTGATTATTAAATTTCATATAAGCAGAAGTAAAAGCCATTTGAAATACACCATTAAAAAGGCTCAGATCTAACCCAAGATTTGTAATACAGAAATTTACTTCACCTCCAAAATTAGTATTTAATTCACCACTTTTCAAAAAACTTTTGAGTTGTTGAATCCTACTTTTAACATATAGGATCACAGGTTTATTTTTTTTTTGAAAGAACTTAAAATTAAAAATAAATTTTTTAGTGTAATACTGAATAAAGGTCAAATAAATTTGCACTCATTTACTTTCTTCAGAATTATTAAAAATATTGCCAATTTTTTTGATTGTTTTAGATGATTCAATTTGCAATTCATCATTATAAAATTCTTGCATATAGTCCAAATAATTGTAAATATAAAACACCATTTTAAACCAAGTATTGTAGCTGGTAATAGTATAAATTTAAGTGAAGGACTTGATTGTTGATCTAATCTATGCTGCATTAAGCAATTTATATAGCGAGATCTACAAGCTTTAGAATATATAAATGTTTTTTTGATATTTGAAATAAATGTTTTAACAAGATCAAAATGAAAAATTAACAGCTATAATTCTCTAAAATAATAAAATTAAATTTTATTAATATATGTTAGAGATGATGCTGAAATCGGATGATACTAAAATTTTGACTTATTTTATTAAGGGTTTTTTTTTAGTTAGATTAGGGTTTGAGGGTAGTATTGTTAGTAAAAAGTATATGTGAATTTTAGTAGGTATTATAGATTTAAATGAGAACCTTAAATTTCAGTATTAGCCAATTTCAGCATCATCCTTGACAATATATATTGATAAATAATAATATCATCATTATAATACCAATTAAATTTACAATATAAACTAGACAAGTATTATGTTTTAATTGTTGCATTACAGAACTTATAGCTTTGTGAAAACATTTTTTCATATATGAAGCAGAATCAGTAACAACTTTGGAAATGTAAAAGAAATATTCCATTTAGTTAAAAGGCATAAAACAAGACCACCTATAGTTTAATAATTCACTTGTTGCAAATAATCAACTGATATAAGTTTTGTTATTCCTTGATATGAAAATAATGTGTTAACTACACTATGCCCTTTTAAATCAGTTGTTTTGTTGATTATGATTGCAATAGGTTTTTCACTAAATATGCAATATAAATTTTTTAAATATTTATTGAAAACTTTTGGCAAATATAACCAATATAAAGTACCAGCCAAAGGTATACAACCACCCTCTTTACAGTACATATTTAGAAAGCCACAAAACTTGTCAAGTTTTTCAATTGGTATATTTGCCTTAACCCATGCTGCAACAAGATTACAAATAATTTTTTTTTTTTTTTGTCTGCCACAGTCAATGATGGAAGACATTGTTTGCTGGGTTTTATTTTTGAAGTTTAAGTATGCTTCATGTTTATTATTATGCACTTTACTATTTATGTGTGTGGTGATAAAAGCTTTATTTTGGTAATTAATGCTGTGGTTACAGAAACGGCACATAAGTTTCCCAGAATCCAAGACAAAGTCTTTCGAAAACTCTTGTACACAGCTAGCAGCAGTGACTTTTTTAGGTCCCATTTTTTTTTTCCTTTCTTTTTTTTTTTTTTTTTATTCGTTTATATTCAAAAAAAAAAAATGGTTGTACTCAAAAAAACATCATTTCACTTTTGTGCGCTCAAGACTTGGCGCTTATGACCCTGTAAAAAAAATTCAATTGTATTTATAATATTTTCCATATTATTTCCAGAAATGTATCATATTCCTGGGGTTTTTATTGAAAATTTATGGAAATTACAAGGACTTACTCGCAAAATTCGAAAAAATTCCAGAAAGGTCTCAAATTAATGGAGTTTTTATTTATAAAGTGGAACTATAACGGACTTTTTTTTTTATAGGGTGATGAGAATTAACTTGAACGTTCCAGAAACTTGGCCAGATCACATGTAACCTAAAATCGGTCAAAAATTGGATATAATTTGGCCAAATTTTTAAAATAAGCACAAAAATTTGGATCCAAATTTTTGCAGGTCCCTGATTACAATCCATCCGATATCAGAGTTTAATTTTAACCAATCAAATTTCTCAATAAAACCAAATTTTGCTATGCTAAAACCTTTTGTTCCAAATGAATTTTATACTTCTAAATAAATATTCTTCCAAATAAATGACTTTAAAGAATTTATTCTTTCTAAAATAAATGTCATAATGGCTGTATTCACACTTTCTGCTCAAATACAAGTTGGCTCTAAAGCGGCGGCACAATTTTTTTATCGTCACGCAAAATTTTGTGCTTCTCACCAAGTTTTGGTGATTGTTCTGGCAATCCTTATTGTTCTTCCTTTGTGTTATCCCGCTTTTGATGCTTACTATTTAAATCCTGTCAAAGACGTTAGCCATGCATTTTTTTGGGAGGTCCCTGCATCTAGGTTACAGATTTCAGAGGAAACATTCAATGAAAAACTTGTTGGCAATCAAGTTCAACTTTCTTTTCGCGTAGAGCAGGTTGTTATAAAAACAGTTGATTCAGAAAAACATAAAGGTGGTGCTGGTGTTTTAGAAAAAGATTTATTATTATGGACGTTAGATTTACAAGAAAGAATCGCGAATACATTTGTAACGTACCCTAGCCAGCTATCAGATGCACCCCTTTCGAGTGCCAAAAAATATTCACTTTCGGATTTATGTTTTAAACCTATTAATAGTTATAAATGTTTGATTCAATCGCCACTTGATTATTGGTCGAATGATGCCAACCGTCTTTCTTCTGATTCTTCTATTATCAGAACGCTATTAAGGACAAACAAAACTTCTTCTTTTGGAGTATCCATTCCTTTAAATTCGGTCTTTGGAAATGTCGTGTATGAGAAAAAAAAAGTAGTTAGTGCAGACTCGATCATTTTAACTTATTTTTTAAAATATATGGATGATTATCAAAATGATCAGATAATAGCAATTTGGGAGGCAATTTGGCAACAAGTCATACAACAAGTCACAGACGATATTGAAACTAATTCTTACCCTGGTAGCAATCGCATTAAAAGTATAAATATGATCAAGCGAGGGGGGCTAAAACATCTATCTTTTAGAGTATGATCATTTTTTATCATTTGCAATTTTATATACATCTTTTTCTCATATTAAGTACAAAATTAATTTCACAGGTTGGTCAAAATAAATCTTTGGAATCTTCGGCAGAATGGGCTCTTCTTCTGCTGGCGTACTTGATCTTTTTTCTTTACATCATACTTTCTTCGGGTCGTCTTAATTCCGTCATGTCTAAATTTGGTCTTGCCTTCTCAACTGTGGCTCAAGTGTTTGCCTCATTAATTATGTCACTTAGCATCTGTTCTCTGTTTGGCGTCACATTAACACTTGTCTCCATATCTTGGTGAGTTGACTATGTAATGATATTTATACATTAAATGGGGCCTCACAGCAAAAAGGTGGTGATTGGCCAAAAAAATTTTTTTATAAATATTTAATTTTGCAAAAATTAAATTATTTAAAATATAATATTAAACTATAATCAATTTTTTTTTTTTTTGCCCGGTCACCACCTTTTACTGTGGGGCTCCCCAAATGTCGTACTTATTTGAATAATGGTTTTTATTATTTTCACTTAGGAAACTATTGCCTTTTGTTTTTATTCTGGTCGGTGTTGAGAATATGTTTATTTTATCAAATGCTGTAACAGCGATCCCCACGCAATTGAATGTTAAAGAGAGAGTCGCCAAAGGTAATATGTTTGTATATTTTCGGATTGGCCTTTATTTTATAATTTTTATATTTTAACCCACAATACGTTTATTAGGTCTTGAAAAAGTTGGATATTCTATTACAAAAACATTAATAATTTGGCTCTTATTATTGCTTATATGTTCAGCAACAAATATTGAGTCAATTCAAGAATTTTGCATTTTTACTTCGATTGCCATGATTATTGATTATATGCTACAAATGTCGTTTTTTATAGCGACTTTGTCTATTGATCTTGAAAGATTAGAATTGGAGTATAATGTATATTGATTACGTAAATGTGCTTATTTTATTAGTTTAAATTAAGTTTATCAATATTTTATATTCACTTTAAACAGATGTCCAATTTATTTAATAATCGCGTTGGAGAACCGGTTAACGACGATAAAAATGATAATCCGCTTTCAAAAACAATCATCTATGGCCGTAGGATCGGTAGTTCATTATTGGTATGATAAATTTATATTATTTTTGTTTATTAGATGTACTACAATTGAGTAATATTCTTTTCCTTCAAAGGTACTTATATTCATGGTAGCTGTTACAAATGTTTATCAATCCAATATTGATTTACCACCTTTCAAGCCTACATTGAGCAGTTTATTTAATAATTTTACTATAGTTATTCCTACTACACGTACAAATATCACATTTTGGGAAACATCAAAGGCAGTACCTTCTGATAAATTTTGGGATATTGTTAATACGTACAATGAAGGTCAATTTGCTGAGATTCTTCCCATTAGGCATTTAACATTGAATTATTACCCTGTAGAACACGATATGTATGTGCCGAGTTGGCAATTTATTATAAAGTTGTTTATGAGGGCTTTCGTTTGGATTCTCAAATTTATTGTGTTTCCTGCTACTGGTATAGCATTTGCAATATCTTTCCTGGTAGGCTTTTTATTACCAGCGGACCTGGTAATTCGGGCTGCCAGATTGTCAAAAAAATCAAGAAATGATGTGAATAAAATCATCTTACCGGCATCTACACCTTCTGGAAAATCTATTTTATGTGTTACTACACCACGAGTTGTAACTTTGCGTGGTCATCACTCAGCTGATGTTGATTTACTTTGTGCGAACTTGAACGGCAATATAATTTCAACTGCTACTGACAGGCATATTACGTCGTGGAATGGAAAGAAAGGTATGCAATTACAAAAACTTGAAAGATATATACGACCTTGTGAATCATGTAAAGGTGGTAGTACAGGAGGAATGAAGAATTGTATTTCTTGGCCAGTGAGGGCAATGTGCATGAATGAAAAATCCGAATTTGTGGCGGCCGGATTTGAAGATGGCGTAGTGCGAATTTGGGATATAAATTTAGGACAAGTTATTTATATCTTGGGAGACACCGCTGAAGATGTTGAACAAGTGACATCAACAGCTAATAATCATTCAATTCATTCAATAAAAGAACGAGTTACATGTTTGCAAATTATAGTACCGACATCCCATAATTCGATGCCTACTACCCCAACTTGTGAACACAATTACTCTTATAGTACATCTAAATCAATATCGGATCAAAAAATGCCTGCCATACTTCTTGCAACTTACCGAAACGGATATTTTCGAGAATGGGATCTTGTTTCTGGTCAGATTACCCATACAGTTGCCACAAATCAAAAGGGTGGCATCAGTTGTCTTTTTGTAATTGATAATGGCGAAGATAACAATAGAGACGAGTTACGTATTTTTACCGGAGCACGAGATGGATCTGTCAAATGCTGGGTTCGAACAGTTTATGATTCGGACAATGAATCTGATGACACTAATTCAGATGATAATAAACAACGCAAGAGCATGTGGAAGTTATTCTACACAATACCAAATGAATCTGGAAATGCAATTACTAGTATAGCTGCTAAAGTAGTTAAAACTCAAAAGGATTGTTTGGGTATTGTTGTTACTGGAACTGCCGATGGAGAGGTTAGAATATATGATTACCTTACAGGAAAATATATAACGAGGTTAAGTTATGGAATTTTTGAAAAAGAGAAACGTGCAAAAGATCGAGAAGAGCAACTATTGCAGAAGCCAACATTATTTCAGCAGCAAAATAAAAGTCGGAACCATTCACGAAAATCCTATATAATAAATCAAAAGGAATTCTCTGACTCAGAACAGGATTGGTCTGAAGAATACGACGACGATGAATATGAATTTTGGGACGAAACTGACGAAACCGAAGATTGTGTTTCACACCAGGGTGCGATTACTAACATTATAATTAATCCACTTAAAGAGGAAAGCTGTCTATGTGGAAACACTGAGGAAACTAGTGGATTCTCGATAACAACCTCTTCATTGGATGAAAAAGTTTATTTTTGGCAATTAATACGAAATTTTATGGACTGTACATGTATGACCTTCCAATTAAGAGAACCTATAACCGATGATTACAATAGTGAAGACATCAATGGGAGACCTCAAGAAGTTACTCAATGGTTTGGTGCAATGACAAAATTTCTTGGACGCGTGAGTCAGCCTGGTGGTTCTGCAATCGTATTTCTTAGAGAAAGTATAATTGGAGTTAGGCGTGTTAAAAATTCACATACGTCCATGAAAAGATGTCATGGTGCTGAAGGTGAATGGGAACTCTGGATTCTGGACATTAACTACCCCCATGTTATCGAACAAGCAGAAGATGTTGATAATTCTGAAAATTACGATGATGTCGTTGAATTCAAGGTTAAAGTAGTTCCATTAGTTAACGAAAATGATTTAATCACGGAAGAACAAAAAAAGGAGAAAGACATATTATACAAACGACAAGATCGAGAAAATGTTGAGGAATTGAAAGGATTCGTTCGGCGACGGAGAGATATTTCAAAAAATTGCTCCTTAAGTCCGACATATTCCTCTTCTAATAATCTCAATCAGAATCATTCACAAGTTCATAATCATGAAGAGGACAATACACAAAGTAAAGTTATGGATTTTAGGCAGCGGGGTCAGAGGCAACGTGGCAGTATATTACATCGTGTTTATCCAAATAATAATATTTATGATCGAAGACTATCGTCGTTTGAAGAAGAAGACGAAATGAACGAAATTCTACCATTTTCCTGTATACGACAAGTTGTCAAAGTTGGTGAAGACGGGGTTGCTGTTGCATATGGTAATTTTGTAAAGGTTGTATTATTTGATGAACTAAATGATGGCGATAATGATCTATAGTTACTACTACATTCTCTTCCATAATTAAATTTTATGGCACTCTCTTACATTGTAACCAACTTCTGCTTATTAATATGTTATTGACGGGCATTGGCTGGGTTGTATTATTTATTTATTTACTTTTTTTTGTAATCATCATCCTTTATCATTTGGCGCAGGTGCGCTATGATGCACCCACCTGATCAGGGTATAATGCGAAATCCAGACAAAGAATATGCGTTTGTTTAAGGTAAGGGTTAAATTTCGGTAGGGTTATAATATAACAACGCACAATAGCAGAAGCATGTCCGATTCAATTTCTGCGGAATATTTTTTTCTAGAACGCATAATGATTTCACAGAACAAATTATAATGTGTTTCAATCGTTGAGTTTTCACGTTGCATACAACTTGCAATTTGATTGGTTGATCAGATGTGGTACGTCACAACTACTTGCTTTAAATCATTTTGATTTATTATATGTATATATACAGATAGATTTAAAGGCTAAAATATATGTTGAATTATATTGTAATATTATCTTAGTAATAAAAATTGGGTGGTTTAATAAAATTTTTAATTAGGCAGTTTTAAAAGTGTCTAAAATTATATAAAATAAATTATCTTGATCAAAAATAAATTTTTATTGAATATTTATAGTTTGGTTGCTTCAGATGTTGATCGGTCTAAATTAGAGTAGAGTTAGTGTAAGGATTAGGGTATAATTTAGGTCGATTAGTTAATGCCAAAAAATCGACGGATTTTATTCAACATATTTTTATACGTTTATACCAATTTTTTAACTACAGTGTAACTGGGGATGTGAAAAGTTCGGTCCGGTCCCGACTCGACTCAAAAGTCGAAATGCTCGGTCCCAAGCAGACTTGGGATTTCGACTTGCATCTGCACATGCATCTAGTATATTTAAAAAATGCAAAGTATGCATTTTTTTATGCTATATCTAAATATGTACTAAATGCACGTGCAGATAGAATTTAACAAAGACTCCTAAGTGTAACAAATAATACGTATTGCAAAAAAAACACTTTTTTTTATGGGTTTTTTATATTTAAGGTAAGCGCCCCTATTTTTTGACGCAGGTAACGTTTACGCAAATAGGTGAATCTGTGCCATGTGATGATCGTTAAATGATTTTCTAAGTGATAATTTGATGTAGTGTAACGCGTACATTATTTACCCATCATCTTACGTAATTAAAATTAAAAAATATTCGATTTTCGAGTTAAGACTATGTTTTTTAAGCTACAAGTTGACTCGAGTCCAGTCTCTACACTATTTTAGATGCTACGAATAGCTGTGTTCTAATCACAGGTAATTTCGCTATATAAATCGCTCAAACATTTTTAAAAGTATCTTAATGTTTGTTTATATTGTTAAAAATTTTTTGATTTTAATTTTACAGGTTTGTGAAAGGATACGTGAGCGCTGTTCAATAGAAAAGGGAGAGATCTCCTTTTTAATTCTGGTCAAATTGACCAGATTTAAAAAGGAGATCT